TGCTCAACTTTTCATACAGAAGTTCAGATTTTCCCAAACTATGTCCACAGATCTCACTGCTGGAGACGCAACTCAATGACAAAAGCTGATTGGGAAATTAAGTCAGAAAAATCTCCTCTATCCCACTGATACACACAGTGTGCCGTCCACTCTATCACAGACAGCTGTTGGTGATTGCTGGTGTAACGAACTTTGAGGTTAAGCAACATCCTGCCTCAAATCATCTGTGTGCTGATTACAGCTGGTCCTCAGACAGAGGAAATACATCTTTGTGGAAAAGATTTATGGAAACACTTAACACTAAAAAGAATCAATGTACATATTAAATGAAACACCATTATAGGCAATCAATTATTACCTTAATTTATGGTATAATCTCCATTTTCTCTTTCTTTTTTTGCTTTTTTTGCACATTAGTTCTTATGGAAATACAGAGTGACGGATTCTTTTCTTTTCTTGTTTTGATTTTCTTTTTTCTCAATTCTTGTTTCTTTTTAAAGCATTCTATATCCAAGGATTGTTGTTTTTTCTCTTAGTTATAGCATTGTCACTGCTATCAGCAGGGAGAGGGAAGGGGGGAGGCTTTGTACTTACTGGGGTGCTGAGCTGAATGTGGTTTTGGTGCAAGTGCCACCTCTCTCTCGTACAGCCAGAGAGAGCTGGCAGTTTACCTTCCATTGAAATACATTGAATGTATGGAAAACTCCCACAGAAGAGACTACAGCACTTGTAGACAAACCAGTACTAGAGGCATCAGGATTCCCAGAACCAATGTTTTATGGATTTTTCCTTATTACAGAGGTCACACATCTGAGTGTGATGACTCAGATATGACACTTAATGTAGATGCTCAACAGGGACAACCAAGAGGCCCTCCGCCACACTACCCAAAAATAAAGACTGGACTTTTCCAATGTGCAAGCAACTGTACATAGAAGTTAGAACTTTTATTGTCAAAGTTCTAATATTTTACAGTTTTGGTTAATTTTTGGTTAAAGCCAAACTTTTTTGTATGAGCTTGTATGGTGATATGGTTAAAACAATTCAACTGTAGGAAAATATAAAATGTTAATCTAGATATCATTGAGTGCAGTATAAATGGATGCAGAACACTAACATAATAATATAGGTTCTTTTCTTGTATGTTAGCACTGAAAAACATTCAAATATGTTGTGTTACAAAAATGCAAAATTCAAAACGTTCTCACATGCAAACAAAATAAACATATTCAAAATATAAACATAAAATTTTGTCTGCCTCAAAATTGTCTCTGATGGAGATGTCCTCATGTTAGTTCAATGTGTCTCAAAGTGCTTAAAAAGTAGAAAATATCCAATAAATATAGCCATAAATATTTGAGTATAAAAATTTGTGTTTGATTTCTACTTCCAGGTGTTCTTACACTGGTGTTCTGTTGGAATCTATAGATTAAAAATAAAGATTCATGGAAAGAGCTATGCAAAAGTCCTGAAACCATGAAGGCAAATGTTCAGCATTAAAGTTTCTTTTTTATTTGTTCCTATTCGACTACATCTTGTTCACCTGAGTGCACATTTATCACTATCAGTCGTTCCATGTACAACACTGCCATCTGGCTTGCAGCAAGGAACAACTCAACATCTCCTCCCACAGCGGTAAAGTCTACCTGCTTCCTGGCTGTGTCAGACCTGCTATGCATGCTGCTTGCTATTCAAGTGTGGTTTTACTCTTTCCTTTACAGCTGGACATTCAGTCTCAAGGCCTAAAAGTTGGCAATGTAGCTCCTGTCTATTCCTGTTTTAGTGTTTCTCCTGGTAAAAGATGAGCAATAACATGCTGCAAATCTCACTATTGCTCAAAGGGCCGGAGTATGGCTTTGCTGTTGACAGGGTTCCCGATAGGATT